CAGGAGAGTTCGTACAAAGTGCAGAGCAGCATCTGAGTTCAGCAACGGCGCTGAATACGAAGATTATCTTATCATTTTCTGCTCTGATCTCCTATTAATAGTGGGAATCAGCAAGAGTACTCTCATTTGGTTCAGTGTCAAAGAGGAAAGTGGCGGTGCTCAACTCGGTATGTCGTTCCGCTCGGTCGTGCGGTAGTCCTAGGAGGCTTGTGAATGTGTGCCTGTCAGGAAGAGACTCAGTTTCCTGAGCAAACCATTCCCGAATGCCAGAACTACATGCAGAGTTTAAACCCTTTCCTAGTGCGATATGTGAAACTGGACGCAGTCACGCTGTCGTGTATCCGAAGTCGTTTGTGGTATGAAAACAGCCAAGAGGTTGAGCTGCCCAGCGACTACATGACTCCCCATAAACTTAATTTCTTCTCGAACCTGAGCCGTTGTAGAAACGCGTGCAGCTGCCTGTCTGTCGTTAGAAATCATACTCGGCCTCGGTACCCAGACAGACTGGGGGCGGTAGGTCGCAACGCAAGGAGATCCGAATGATGACCGATGCCGAGCGACAGTCGTACTTTAATGCTGTCAACCAGATGAAGCGCGATGTCTCGTCTGGACAGAGTTTGTACGACTTTTACGTGTCCTACATCGTGCCAAGCCGATCACCGGGGGCTCACTTTGGAGCTTCGTTTTTGCCGTGGCACAGGGAATATCTAAACAGTAAATTCCGTTGTTTGGCTTCATGGCATCAACATCAACACCGTTTCTCTGTTTTCTGTTCTCTTTCAGGTTCGGAATATCTCTGAGGACGTATGTGCCGACGATCGGCCTCCGGTATTGGGACTCGACGCTGGACAGTTACCTGCCCAATCCGTTCGACTCGGTCATCTTCTCGTCAGCGTTTTTCGGCAATGGCAACGGCGCTGTCACGACGGGGCCGTTTGCCAACTGCAGGACTACCTCAAGTCTTCCGCTGAGCAGAAACTACGGACAAGGTGGACAACTTTTCACGCCTGCAGTAGTCAGCACCGTGCTCAGTGAACGCAACTTCAACCAGTTAACCTTCTGTGTCAATCCCTTTTACGAAACGGTAAGTCAACTGATATCGAGTAATCAGTTCCATCAGTACAGTGGCAAAACCAGAGTTAAGAATATCTTTCCACTCTTTCTGTTCCAAGTCAAGCGATGTTTACTGCTATGGAAGAGATTAGTATCTAGTCAGAACTCATGCATCGAACGACACCGCAGTAGCGAATGCAAAAGGGATGCTCCGTAGTGAAGTTGAGCCCTCTGTTTAGCTTCGAAATAATGAGGACTTCTTGGCAACCAAATCAGACGACGCTCTAGTGATAACATAAAGACATTTGCATTGCTTAAATGAGCAGGTAACGAACGTGAATAACAAGGGCCATGGTCAAAGGGGTCCTCCATATTTTCAATTGGGTCATCAAGAATCCCGGCGACGCTATATGTGGCAAAAAGTACCTTTGCAGTGCGGCAGTTTATGTTGGAGGCTTTGTCAACATCTTTAGCTGACTCGCAAAATTGCATGATTCTTGATGCCTTGCAATCTCAAAGTTCCATATTTTCATGTTATGAGCTGATATCCTAATTCACGATAGGTTTCTGTTTAGTTTTTCCTATCATGTGATTGCCTGGAAATCGTTTTTCCCATGCTTTATGTTTTTTCTCATTAGAAAAGCTGACGAGTTAGCGACGCTTAGGCCGTTCCAAGCAGATGATAAAACTATGTTAATTTCTTTGTCTTTGAACGTCTCTGAAATTTGTCTGAGGCGAGTAAGCAATAAGCGAACCTAGTCAATTCAATCTGAAGCAGAAAACACAGCAAGAACCGCCGAATCTTTTTAGCATGAGGCTCTGAAAGTGCCACATTTTAAGGCAATGCTGAAAGTTATCTCATTTGTTTTTCCTCCATCCGGTGATACTTTTTCGTTTTTCTCAGAAAGAAGAGAATCAAGTTCATTAGACTAAGGTGTGATGAACCCAAGATTTTCCGCTCTGCTGAGAACATATTCTGATATCGCAGCCACTGTACGCCTCAAGCAACATTTAAGCCTATATTCACTGTGTGCAGGGATGCGGGAATGGTCATCGAAGCCAATTCAGAGCTCCCGTTATAAGTAGATCTCAGACATGATCAGTTATATGTATTCGCATATGAAGAAACGATCGTTATGTTGCAATGACGATTGTTCTCTAATCGATCAAAGGCCATTAGCTTATGCAACGTGACGGTCAACGCCAAAAGGAATCATTTCGAAATACAGTAAAACGTGAAAGAAGCAGCGCTTGAGATTCAATGTCTAAATCCCGAGAATAGCGAGATTGATTCAATCCTTGGAATCACGCTGACTATCGCTTTTGCTAAAGATTCCGTTTCCATGGCGATCATCGCTTTAGGTACACGG